TCACAAAAAAAACAACAAAAGAAAGCACACGTTTTGGCAAATGGCTCGGGCATGATGCGCCAGAAAATATTTACACTCAATAAAAACAAGAATTTGAAAGGTATTCGAAAACAAATAAAGACATCACCCCTCAGACATTTCAATTTTGCTCCTGCTGTTCGTTTTTTGGGCTGCCAGCCATTTTGACCTTGAATCAGTTCATTAGAGTTGGTGGAAGCGTTGATGGGTGCTATGTAATTCATTTTGTTATTCCTAATCGAAAACGAAATTCAATACCGTTCTAAATTTGCAAAACATTTTTTTGAGATTTTTTTTTTTTTTTGGTTTTTGCTTTTATGCCATTACATCATTCACAACATGCAATGTAAATGCACCAATCAAAAGGTAATGAATGTTTGATCAAACAACAGCAACAACAACAAAAAAGCGTTGTTTTGCTTTAGAATACCTGGCTAAAATCGATACGCTCGCATGCAAACGGTAAAAACACAGGCGACCAAACGAGCAGCGACATACGTTGTTGACATGCCACCACAATCGCCATCAACATTAGTTTTTCTTTTTTGTCGTTGTTGTTGTCTCCCACAATTCGAAACCCGCAACTAAAAAACAGAAACAAAAAAATTCTCACCAACTCAATGTCTGCGTTTACTTTGGCTGACTAAGCGCCAATGCATCTAAGGGGGCACAGTGTTTGGGGATGGAAAAAAAAAAACAAAAGAATTTCGAATATAAATAGAGGGGTTTTGAAATATCTCGAATATCGAATTTCGAAATATCTCTAATACACAGAAAAGATTTTAAGAACTTCTGAACACAACTTCTGGGAAAACTTTAAAGACCTTCTATAAACAGATCTCTTCTGAAAGTATTCTCAAGAGGTTTCAAAGGTTTTCTATAAACGAAATTGCTTTAAAAGCGGACATGAAAAACAATTTCCCGAGACAGAAGGTCTTCTCTATACAGGAGACATGATAAGGGTCTTACAATGACAGAAGTCCTGTAAGAGGTCTATAATAGGAAAAAAATCAAAGATGCCTTCTACAGACAGGAGACCTGAACTAGGACTTCCATAAACAGGAGCCCGGAATATTTTAATATGAAGAGGAATCCCAAAAAAATATTTTTTAAAGTCCTGGAAAAATTATTCTGTAGGCAGAAGACGTGAAAATTTTCTTCTATAGACAGAAGATCTGAAAATCGTCTTCCATACACAGAAGACCTTAAATAGGTCTTCTATAGACAGGGGATGCTTAAAATGTCTTCTATTGACAGATAGTCTTCTAAAGGTATCTTAAAGGTAGGGGTCTGAAAAATGTTTTCTATTAAAAGGAAGACCTAAAAAATGTCTTCAATAGACAAAAGACCCAAAAATAGTCTTCAATAGGCAGAGGTCCTTAAAAGGTCTTCTTTAGAGAGGAGAGCTTAAAGAGGACTTCTTAAAAAGGACTTCTATAGACAAAAGACCTTTTATGGACTTCTTAATACAGAAGACCGCCAAAAGATCTTCTATAGACAAGAGAACTTAAAAAATTTATTTTCTAGACAGAAGATCCTTTAAAGGTCTTCTATGCATAGGAGACCTCAAAAAGACCTGCGATAAACAGAAAATGTCTTCTATTGACAGATAGTCTTTTAATGGTATGTCTGTAGAGAGGAGACATTAAAAATGTTTTTTTTTTATAAAAAGGTGACCTCAGCAAGACCTTCTGCGGAAATGATGGCTTAAAAATGTCTTCTATAGACGGAAGACCCAAAAAAAGGGTCTTCTATAGACAGAAGAACCCAAAAAGATTTTCTATACACTGAAGACTTTTAAGAGAGAAGACAGAAGACCTTGAAAAGGTCTTTGAATGACAGAAGACCTTCAACAGGGGTTCTGTAGACAGAATACCTTTAACAGTTTTTCCATAGACAGAAGAACCGAAATGTCTTTCATAGACAGAAGGCCCAAAAAAGGCTTGTATAGAAAGAAGTTAGGGACTTCTATAGACAGAAGAACCCAAAAAGATATTCTTTACACAGAAGATCTTGAAAAGGTCTTCTATAGACAGAAGACCTTCAAAGGTCTTCTGTAAACTGAAGATCTTAAAAATCTACGATTATGAAAGATTTTATTAAAAATCCTTTGATTGTGAAAAATATTCGTAAAAATCCTCGTTTTTGAAAATTCTATTCTTAAAAAATTCTTAAAAAAGTCCAAGGTTATGAAAAGTATTTCTAAAAATCTAATATTATGAAAAATGTTCTTAGACATCCACGATTATGAAAAATATTCTTAAAATCCACGATTATGAAAATTTTCTTTAAAATCCATGATTTGGAAAATTTTTCGTAAAAATCCGCGATTATGAAAAATGTTCATAAAAATCCACGATTATGAAAAATATTCTAAAAACTCCTGAATTATGAATAATATTCTTAAAAATTCCCGATTATGAAATCAACGATTATAAAAATATTCTTACAAATCCGCTATTATAAAATTTTTCTAGAAATCCACTGCTATGAAAACTGTTCTTAAATATCAACGATTTTTCTTAAAAATCCATAATTATAAAAAAATTAAAAAAAGTAAATAAAAATAAAAAAAAAACTTAAGACTCCATGATTATAAAAAAAATTCTTAAAATCGTCGAAAACCTCGATTATGAACAAAATCCTTTAAAATCGACGATTATGAAAAATATTCCTAAAAATCCTCGATAATGAAAAATGTTCTCAAACGTCCACGACTGTGAAAAATATTAAGAAAACTAAAAAATATTCTTCAAAATCTACGATTATGAAAAATATTCTTAAAATTGTCGGTTATGAAAAATATTCATAAAAATACACGATTATGAAAAATATTCTTAAAAAAACACTATTATGCACAATATTTTAAAAAATCAAGGACTATGAAAAATATTCTTAAAAATTCAGAATTATTAAAAACGTTCTTAGTATTCCACGATTGTGAATAAAATTCATAAAAATTCTCGATTAAGAAAGAAATTCTTAAAAATTTTCGATTGAAAAAAATATTTTTAAATAATCATTATTCTTAAAAATCCACAATTATGAAAAATATTCAAAAAATTAAAAAAAATTCTTAAAAATCTACGATTATGAATAATATTCTTAAAACTGTTGGTTATGAAAAATATTCATAAGAATACACGACTATGAAAAATATTCTAAAAGTAAAGTATAATGCACAATATTTTAAAAAATCAATGATTATGAAAAATATTCTTAAAATCCACATAGATGAAAAATATTTCTAAAAATCCCCGATTATGAAAATTATTATTATTATTCTTAAAAATCCAATCCTATGATACATATTCTCAAAAATCGACTATTGGGAAAATATTCCCAAATATCCTCGACGCTGAAAATATTCTTAAAAATCCGCAACAATAGAAAGAATTTTTAAAAATGCACAATTATGAAAAGAATTCACGATTATAAAAAATCTTCTTAAAAGTCCACAATTACGAAAATATATTCAAATAAATAGAAATATAATCTAAAAAATCCTCGATTATGAAAAATATTCTTAAAAATCAACGATTATGAAATAATTTCTTAAAAATTCTCGATATGAAAAAATATTCTTGAAACTCCTATGTTAGGAAAACTGTTCTCAAAAGGCTACGATTAAGAGAAATATTCTTAAAAATCCACGATTATGAAAAATATTTGTAAAAATCCAAGATTATGAAAAATATTCTTAAAATTCCACGATTATGAAAAGTATTCTTAAAAATTTATGATTATGAAAAATATTCTTAAAAATCCAAGATTATGAAAAATTTTCATTAAAGTCCACGATAGTGAAAAAGAATCTTAAACTTCGACGATTACGAAAATATTTTAAAAATATTCCTAAAAATCTACTTTTAAAAAATATTATTGAAAATGCATGATTGTGAAAAATATTTATAAAAATCATCCATTATGAAATTTTTTTTTTAAAAATTCATAATTATGACAAATATTTTTAAAAATTCATAATTATGACAAATATTTATAAAAATCTACGATTATGTAAAATATTCTTAAAAATTCAAACATAATTCTTATAAATCCACGTTTATAAAAATTATTCTGAAGAACCCACTATTGTGAGAAATGTTCGTAAAAATCCTGCGTTATGAAGAATATTCTTAAGGAACATCGAATAAGAGTAATATTCTTAAAAATCCAAAATTATAAAAAATATTAAAAAATTCAGAATTATGAAAAATATAAAAATTCACAATCATGGAAAATGTACTTAAAAATCCGCGATTATGAAAAATATTCATAAAAATCCCCGATTATTAAAAAAGTTTGTTAAAAGTCCTCGATTATGAAAAATATTCATAAAAATCAATGATTATGAAATAATTTCTTAAAAATTCTCGAAATGAAAAAAACATTCTTTAAACTCCTAATATTAAAAGTCCACGATTAGGAAAAATATTTTTAGAAACCAACTATTATGCAAAATATTATGAAAAATATTCTTAAAAATCGACGATTATGAAAAATATATTCGCAAAATTCTGAAGGAAAGGCCTTAAAAAATTCGTATGAAGAAATAAGTCCTGAAAATAGTTTTCTATTGAGGGAAGCCCTAAATAAGGTCTACCATTGGTAAAAGACCTTAAAGGGTCTTTAATCGAAGATTTCCTTTCAATAGGTAAACTTTTAAATATCTTAATGGTACACCATTTCCCATTTCCGAACACTGTGCCCGGCGAGTTTATGTCACGAAACAATCAGCCACCCCCTGTTTTCAGAATTTCGGTTCATGACTCGCAGAATACGGTTTTTGTTGTTGTAAAATTGTTGTTGGTAGTAAAATTGTATCAGCCACCAGACTCTGAACGAATGAATGTTGCTGTTCGTTTTTGGCCCCAACAACAACAACAAAAAACAACACAACGCTAGCAATGTTTGGTTTGAAACATTTACGTGTTGTTGTTACTTTTTTTTGGGTTTTTTTTTTGTGTTCTCTCAGCAACATACCAAACGGCGGATGGATATATGAATGATGATGATGGCCAGCTAGCCAGAGCAGTTCACTTTTAAACGTAGAACAGACAAGACGTGTGAATAGAAAAGAAGATAATCGAGAAAAAAACATAGAAGAATAATCGTGAATATTTGCCGATATACAAAACACCTGAATTACGCTAAAAATAAAATAAAACAAGAAACACAAAATATATTTACGCCAAAAAAAAAATAAAAATAAACAAAATCAACAAAAATGCAAATTCTTGAACAAAGAGAACCCGTCATGACCTCAGCCAGCACAGAAAATTTCCAGCAATATGACAATGGCACGGCAACAGCATGTAACAGCAACAACAAGGCAGCGGAAATTAAAGAAATTCCACCAAGGTAAGTTTTCCTTCGTCCCCCGCTATTCTACACACATGTAAGGCTGTAAATACCAGACCATAGCCAACATCACCATTTCCGATTTATTCTCCACAATTAGCATTACTCAGGCCGCCACATTCTTCAATTAACAGTGAAAGTGTTTTTCTTGCTGTTGTTGGCCTCTTACAAACAAATAACAACAATGTTGCTTGGTTTCCTCCCCCCCTTACCCACAAGCCAATAAATGTTGCTGCTGCGTTACCCGTTGATGACAACAACAATACAAATTTTGGCAATTGACCAAAAAATCACAAAAATGCCCAAAAAATGAAATTCGCAGCAGAAAACAAATCGAATGGCCATTCAACACCAGCAAAAATATGTTTTTGTTTTGTTAGTCAGCAGCAGCAGCAGCGAAAATGTTTGTCATTTTTTTATGGCTGATGTGCGAATTCATAAGCTGAAAATTAAATACTACAACCCCGCTCCTCCGCCATCTAAGATGGCCCTTCACATTCCTATCTTTTGGCAATTTAATGGCCATAAGCAGCGACTTGAGTGCGCTGTCGTATAATTTTCATTTAGCACGGGACATTAATGGTAGCAGAATGAGATTGAATTGGCGAGGGTGACAGTGGTGGCGATGGCGGTGCCGCTGTTGTTGTTTGTGACAAATTATTCTGGCGACCACAAAAACATCAACAAACCATCCACCTGACTTACCAAAAATAGTCGAATATTTTCTACGCCAACCCACCATTCGAATGTTTTATTTTAGAAATGAAAGAAATACAAAAATAATTTTTGTTGACCAAGAACGATAGATCAATATGAGCTACAGTATAATTGAGGAGGAGGAGGTTGTTATAAGTTTGTTAGGATGAAACTAGTTATACCCTACAGAGGTCCACGATTTTGAGAGACTGGGAGAATTTGCAAATTGGGACTATGTATTCCCAGCATTTAGGAAATACTACTTTTTTAAGAATGTTTTTAATAATCGTGGATTTTTACGATTTTTTTCACAATCGTAGATTTTTAAGAATATTTTTCATAGCCGGATATTTTTGAGAATATTTTTCATAATCGAGGTTTTTAGAAAGATTTTCATAACCCAGGAATTTTAAGAATATTTTTCATATCTGTGGATTTTTTAAGAATATTTTTCATATTCGCTGACTTTATCGAATATTTTTTTAAAACATTTTTCACAATTGTGAAATTTTAAGAATATTTTTCATAATCGAGGAATTTTAAGAATATTTTTCATATTTGTAGATTTTTAAAGAATATTTTTCATAACCGTGGATTTTTGAGAACATTGTTCATAATCGAGGAATCGAAATAATATTTTTCATAACCGAGGATTTTTAAGAATATTTTTCATAACCGGTAGATTTTTGAGAACATTTTTCATAAACGAGGTTTTTAGAAAAATTTTCATAATAGTGAAATTTTAAGAATTTTTTCATATTTTTGGATTTTTAAGAATATTTTTTCATAACCATGTATTTTTAAATAATATTGTTCATAATCGTAGATTTTTAAGAACACTTTTCATAACCGCCGAATATTAAGAACATTTTTCCTAATTGTGGATTTCTAAAAATATTTTTTATAGTCGAAGATTTTGAAGAATATTTTTCATATCGCGATTATTAAGAATATTTTTTCAAAATCAAGGAATTTTAAGAAATAATCATAGATTTCTAAGAATATTATTGATAGCCGTGATTTTCTATGAATAATTTTCATAACCGTGGATTTTTTATAAGCGTATATTTTTTCAGAATATTTTTCATAATCGTGGATTTTTAAGAATATTTTCATTAACGTGAATTTCAAAGAATATTTTTCATAATCATAATCGTGGATTATTAAGAATATTTTACATAGTCAGGGAATTTTAAGAACATTTTTCATAATCGTTTTACGAATATTTTTCATAGTTTCTGGCTTTATCGAATATTATTCTCAATCGATGATCTATATGATTTTATTATATTTGTGGATATTCAAGAAAATTTTTCATACTCAAGGAATTTAAGAATATTTTTCGTGGATTTTTAAGAATATTTTTCATTATCGTAGATTTTTAAGAATATTTTTTATAATCATTGACTTTTAAAAATTATCTTTCATAATCGTGGATTTTTAAGAATATTTTTCATATTTATGTATTTTGAATAATCAACATTTTTCATAATCATGGATTTTTGAATATATTATTAATAATCAAAGAATATAAGGAATATTTTTCATAATCCTGGATTTTTAAAAAATTTTTCATTATCGTGAATTTTAAAGAATATTTTTCATACCGCGATTATTACGAATATTTTTCATAATCAGGGACTTTAAAGAACACTTTTCATAATCGTAAAGCTTACGAATATTTTTCATAATCGCTGGCTTTATCGAATATTATTCACAATCGATGATCTGTAAGAATTTTTTTTTATATTTGTGAATTTTTAAGAACATTTTTCATAATCATTGGATCTTAGGAATATTTTTCAATCAAGGATTTATATTTTTCCTAACCGATGATTTTTAAGATAATTTTTCATAATCGTGGAATTTTAGGAACATTTTTCATAATCGCAGATTTTAAACAATATTTTTTATAATCGTGGATTTTTAAAGAGTATTTTCCATAAACTTAGATTTAAAAGAAGATTTTTTAAAATCGTGGATTTTTAAGAATATTTTTCATAACCACTGACTTTAAAAAATACTTTTCATAATCGTTGACTTTTAAAAATAATTTTGTCATAAACGTGGATTTTAAAGAATATAAAAATCGTGGGTTTCTAGGAACATTTTTCTTATCGTGATTTATTAAGAATATTTTCCCCAATTGTAGATTTTTAAGAATATTTTTCATATTTATGGAATTTTAAGAATATTTTTTATATTTGTGGATTTTTTAAGATTATTTTTCATAATGGTGGATTTTTTTAATATATTATTCGAAAACTTCATTGTTGTCGATTTTTCAAAATATTTTTCATAATTGAGGAATTTTAAGACTATTTTTCATACATATGGATTTTTAGGAACATTTTTCATAAACAGAGATTTGTATACCCTCAGCCATATGGCTAAAGATGGTTTATATTATTTGATACGGCTGAAATAACGGTTTGAGACCCTAGGTCTCTTTTGACCAAATCCGTTTCAAGACATTCGGGGTCGATCTAGGGTTGTCCGTCTGAATTATCATCATCAATCAAATTTCGTATATAAAGTTCGGAACCGTTACTACAGCCTATGACACAAATTACTTATTCAGGACCACATCTTCTTATAGCCCCCATATAGCGGATTTCATTCGAGCGGCATTTTTTTGACAGAAATTTTTTTTTTGAAATTTTTCAAGTTTCTTCCAAATGGTGGAGGGTACGGCCGAACTTAGCTGCTTTTTTACTTGTTATCTGGTTAACTTGTTAAAAATATGAACTTTTTGGAATGTTTTTATTTTTGTGGATTTTTAAGAATATTTACTATGGGGGATTCACCAGAAAATTTTTCAAAATCGTTGATTTTTAAAAATTGTTTGTATATTTTTTATTTGTATTTTACTTTTCATAATCTTGGATTCTTTTAAAAAATTGAGTTTTCAAAACATTTTTAAAATTTGTGGGCATATTTTTTAACCGAGGATTTTTTATATCAGCGATTCTTTTACCTTAGTATCCACTTCGAATTCCCTATATTTGAAAAATCATGTTACCACGCCCTTGTCAGTCACCAAAAAAAATAAATTAGATATTTTGCCAAACATATATTTAATTTCTACTTGCCTCAGACAAATTGCTGACAAATTTCGATCATGTATTAAAAATGTGACTTGTGGTGATCTTACTAGAACGAAATATTACATGAATTCAATGAGAATTGGCTAAAAGTCAAATTGGCTCTTTCCCTAATGTCAGTGCCAATTCGAACAAGTTATAATTATATATAACATATATGGTCACATAGATACCTTAGATATTCTAAAAGACAACCAATGTAGTGTCAATCTGGCACATATTTATATCAAACTTAGGTTAGATACGAAATGGACTATATTGGTCCATTTTTTCGGAAGTGGTCATAACTTTCAATAGTCATAATGCAATTCAAAATATATTTAAACAAGTTAAATAGAATCAGTCCGTATTGTCGACAGCTGCATACCCTCAGCCAATGTTCGGTATTTAAATATATTTTGACTTCTGTTTGTATTCAATTTTTTTGACCGTCTATGGAGTAGGTTCCGAAGGAATGGACCAATATTGTCCATTTCGTATCGGACCTAAATAAATATAATATTAATATAACGAAGTGCCAGGTTTGGATTTTATCGACTACTTCCTTCACTGTATATGAGATATGTGATAATTTTTAGAAAATGTTAAAAATTGCGTGAGGTACCAGATATTCGACTTCATCTAATACAGATAAAAAATGGTATGGGCAAAATCGAAATTTTTTTATCTAATTTTATGCGAAATTATAAATTCCATATTCAGCTCAAGTTTCTGGATGGAAAAAATATTTAGCTGTAGCAAGTTGTAAGGAATCGCTGACTTGTTTCGTAAGTTATGACAGATAAAAGTATTGAAAATTGTAACCCTTTTCATCTTAGCAAATATGGTCGTATGGGTGAAATTTGGAGAGAGTTGTATGCTTATTTCGCTTTCTTTGAAAGTTTTGTTTTTCAAAATGTTGATCCTTATGTGGGCGAGGTACCAGAAAAAATGGTCCGATATCTACCATCTTTATAACAGATCTTGCGTTGACGGAAATATTGAGGTGTACCAAGTCTAATTGAAATCGGAGGTTATTATCGCGTTTTTTGAGCTTCAAAATTTTGCACCTTTGTGAGGGAATTACCAGAAAGAGTAGACCGATACATCCCATCGTCACAGCAGATCTTGTGTTAGTTGAAATAATGGGATGTGTGAAATAAGAAGAGAACTGAATGCTTATTTCGGATTTTATAATCGTTTTGATTATTCAAAACTTTG